AACAAATCTACTATCACAGCCCGATTTGCTATTCGTTGAAGGTATTTACGAAAAGCTGATAAAATTCAAAATCTTAATTTCATTTGGTATTATCCGCTAAATTAGTGGCCACCGTCTGTCCGATGTTTGTACACCACTCTTTAAGAGTTGTCCAAATGGATCGAAGGGCTGGCATTGAGCTGTGTTCGGAGTGTGGAAGCATCCTAGTAACATCACTAACAATTGCAGCACTGACTGCCTGGACGGTTCTACTATTTTGAGATACTGGTCCAGCATTAGCTACGTACGTAAACAGTCCATATTCACCAAACGCGCATACGTGAACGATCGAAAAAACCCTCCGCGCGAGCGATTAGCGCTCCATATCAGTACTGTAACAGGCCGCACGCTTGTTCTTCATGAAGACGAGTGGTTCGATCTCTTCTGGCCCATATCTATTAGCGAGAACTGCACAAATTTCTAGGAGCAGTAAAATTTTAAACATATCAGTGACACTACCTGCTTCGTTATTTGTGATTTGTTCCCGCCTAATCGAGTAAACAGTAACTATCCAATTTAGAAAAAAAGGAAACAAAAGCAAGTATTGCATGAAAAAGACAAACCAGGTATGTAGTTTTCATCAAAAGCACTGGGATGTATCAGCGTCAGTACATCTTTCAAATCATCATCGTCAAATAAGCCTATTACCAGCAACGAATTGAACAGTTTGAAAAGTGGTCTGCAATATCAAAGAAATTTTCTTGCTATCAGTGAAAAGTTGATTGCAGTAGTCTGGGAATAATGTGATGCATGTGGATTTTCTGCAATGAACACAATATCGCTTTGCGAAAATGAGCATTTCGAGTATTTTGGTGAAAGTACAAAATCCCTGAAGAAATTGTTTTCTCAGATACCAGAAAATGCATTTGGGATACCTCACAGAAAAAACAAAATTCCTGAAAACACTGTTTCCTCAAATTCCAGAAACTGAATTGATTCTTCACTTTAAAAATGCGACAGCCGGAATTCCTTTTCCACCGTAAAAACCGCTCATTCTTCTTAATGCAAAAAAACTTGCTCGAAATGATTCAAGGAATTGCCACCGATCAAATCACGACAATTCATCACGGCATGTTCAGTTGCGCTGCATAGCGCTGCCATTACGTGAGCTTTCAGTGCCGCAAAATTAAACGCTGGTGGTAGGAGCTTCAAATCCGCGTCTTTCCCAAATCTGAAAAGTGAAAATATTTCTGAATAAAGTACAAAGGATTTTTTAATAAAATTCGCTTTTGATCTGTTCAAAAATGGATAAATTCCCAGCTAGAAACGCAAGCAAGCAAAGACTTACTCGGAACGTACACCGCTGCACGCCATTACAGGTCGCACAGAAATTGTTGGTCCAAGAATTTGCGGGAAACGATCCTCATTTTCTGGATAAAACACATTCCTGATTTCAAGATTCTGCTTTAGCGGAATAACGTATTCGCGAGCTGCTGATTGCCGTGCATCAACGTGTGTTCGTAAATGAACTGCTATCAAGAAATCATGAAAGCCCTGTCGTAACGGCCCCGAAAGATCTGAAAAAAATTCCACTGAACTGAAGACAGACACTAGGATTCCAGATCCCGACAAGAGCCTTGACTGCTAAGTTCTGCATAACTCGCTCCTCAATCCTCAAAAGTGCTAACACAATTAACATATAAGCCTGACGTAGAAAAGAAACCCTTCAAAACTGATTGTGAAGATTCGTATGGCCAAACAATTGCTGGCCTAGCCATTTTTTGGATCAAGACGTATTTGTAAAACTTTAATAAGGAGAAACCACAGGATGAGGGGAAGTAATATCTGTTATTTTTCAATTTTAATCACTTTAAACAATAAACATATCTTTTTTTGATTGCTTAAGGCCTTGTCGATAAAAAAGTACCAAATTATCGATAAAAACATAAAAAACTCTTATAGATACTGGTTATTACAGACACTGGTTCTCAGCCAGGATTCCACACTCCCATGCGGGTATAATGGCGTCTCTTGAAATGAAAATACAAAAGAACTTTTTTATAAATGCACGCTTACAATGACTTTT